AATAGCTTGTTTAATATCTGGAGGTTTCATGGTTATCTACTTTTGTAAGTACTTACAGTGTTTCTCCTCACTACATAGGTGAAGGACACAAAACAGTTCTGGTCACATTTGCCGTACCAGATTTGCAATAACGACCACGTGGCTGCTAGTCCATCCAAGGATGACAGCTGTTGGAATGGAGCTATGAAAGCAAGGTTGGTGTTTCTGTATATACAGGAGAGGAAATTGTATGATGCCTGAAATCCAGGGAAAAAAATCTAGACATTTTACTATGTTATCTGAATCTTCCTTCTCATATGGTATTGGTCGTGATTCGACTTAGATTGAGCAGCCATTTCTACAATAAAAATGTTTTTATATGAAATAAAATTGTAAATACCATGTTTCCTTTCCATATTGATTTTTAAATGCCATCAAATGTAATATGCATCCCAATTTCAGAAATTTTAAAATGTGAAAAAAGTATCTTAAATTGAGGATTTTTGTAACACATAGTTTTTAGCTAATATTGCTACCAAAGACTGTGCCATGGAGTTAGTGTTATTCGATAACTGTTCAGCCTTTCGTTGCAGATATGAACTCCAAATCGCTGGTGATGGCATATCCAACCAGCAAACTAACCCAGAGGTTGCAGTAGATGTGAATCGACCAAGTAGTCTACTTAATGAACAGATGTTTGCACTGAAAACCATTACCAGTAAGCTGAAAAATGCTTATAATGGACTGGATGTTGAATGGATTGATATTGGTAAGAGCAAAAAATTGATCAGATTAATTAAATTATGTTTTAACAAAATCTATACCTATAGGGGGACCTATGCATAAATGGGAAGATAATTAATGGAACTTTGGGAAATGGGAACTAGATTTAGCTAGCTTGGGTAGGGTCTAGTGGCAGACATGGATTTAAGATAGGTGAATAAACAAGGTAATGGAGAAAATTATATGATGAGGAGAATCTTGATGTACACTTTTTATCTAGTATTAATCCTTTTTTAATTCTTCATAAGGTTTTTCCACTTATGTTGGCATCTAACAACGAAGCCTTTCCATCTCGGTCTCCTCACTTCTTGTCAGTCACTTCTACGGTATGTCCATAATGAACTAATACCACTATCTTGCAGTTTTATAATCTCATCTTATCACTTCTGTTTGTCATTATGTCAATTCCTAAGCACTTTATTTAAATCTCTCCACTTTTATTATTTCACGACTAATGTATTTTCTTCTTTTACATGTCCCTACCATCTAATACTGTATCTATCTGAATATAATCTGCACAGTTTATCCAAATTAACATCCCCCTAAAATTAAATCATGGCTTATAATTGGAATATTTTTAATGGAGATAATCTCTATCATAGTTCATTAGATATTGTTGCATTATGGTTTTCATCACACAAAAATGGACGAATGAAATATGAAATGATGACATGTAAAATGAGCTGGCATGCAAAGTCATCTGTGTTTGCTGAAGTGAATGGGAAAAATGACATAAATTCATCAGTCATACTCGGCAATTCCGAAAGAATACTGAACATGAGCAGTAGTCCAGTGGTTTGTCACACAAACCGCTACAAGTTAATGGAATAGTTCTTGAAAAGAAAATGAATTCCACAACATTCCAACCCAGTTATATACTGGCTGTACTGTAAGTATGATTAACATAATCTATGTTTGAATTTTATTTGCAGAAGAATCTTCATATGGGTCTGGGAGTGGCTCTGGTGATGGCAGTGACACTGAAGATGACTTAGAGGGGTCTGGAGATTCAGGTCACTTTGGGTACGGATCTGGTACCAGGACCGGAGGATCTTCGGGTGGAACGAAACAGTACCCTCAGCCAACTAACAATGATATTGATGACACTTTTCACCCTGTGGGTTCTGGTGGTGAGATAGACAGGCATGGACCAAGAAACAATACCAGCGGTGGTTCGTCTACAACTGGAGGACCACAAATATCTGTTACACGTGCTGTCACGTCTTACCTCCTTTCCATTGTTGTTATGTGGTTCGGTGGAATGTTTTCTGATTGGCTGTGATGAATATCCTTTTTGTTTTGTTAACATCACATTAATTGTAGGCATGGATGAAAGAGAAAAATCCTCAGTGTTTTCATTTAGGTGCTTGAGTCATCTGGATTCAAAAGCTGATCTAGTCCCAGTATGCAATTATATTTGAATATGATGAGCAGAAAGCAGTGGTCATGCAGAAGTCCTTGCACATATTTTCTGTTCTTAAGTCATTACATTCCAAATAATAATGTTCTCTATTACTTTAAGTGCAAAGTGAGTTGGAATACAATGCAAACATCATACATAAATTTCATACTCCTTTCAGGATTTGTGCTTGCTGCCCACACGACTTAAGTGTAGAAATATTGAATGAATAAGTGCTACCAGTACTGCCAATTATATAATCTTATTAATCTGACAAATGTCCAGTAACCTTTCAGTTATGTGGCAGAATACCAGGAAAGCCACATATGTGAGATAACTTAAAACTTTGCATACCGTGTAGTGTATTAGAATATAAAATAAGCAATAGTTTGTTTGTTTGCTTATTTTATATTCTAAAGAGATAACTGATCAGTGAAGTTTAACATTGACAATGTATTTAATTTTAATTATTTAATCCGTGGCGTAACAGCTCCAGAGAGCCAAAGCCGACTAGCTTGACTGCTGGCCTCACGTTCACATGCCTAAGCAGAGGTGAATGATCATCCAACCAGATACAAGGTGACGTGTGGTCAGCACGATGAACCCCCAGCCATTGCTACCTTTCCTGACCGGATTACGCTACTCATTGTAGCTCCCCAGTTTCCTCACGATGCTGGGTTGGCACTGGTCAAAAGCTCATGAGAAAATTTCTTTTCCCCCCGAGAATCGAACCAGCGCGCATTCCGTATCGCCGGTCTGAAGCATGATGCCTCAGACCGTGCGGCTACGGCACGGGACAACAGTGACAATGTAACACTAAGAAATTTTCAGACATTAATTAAACCATTCAGACTTATGGCAAAAATACAGCGAACCAATTGTGGTAGAGTTCTTTTGACAAAATATATAAAGAAACTGTATGCTATACTTTTGATATACTCGGTGGGGAACAACAGAGTAATATCTGGTTGTCATTACCCAGTTGCTCTAAATATGAGTTGTGCTGGGTTAACTCCATTATTATGGCAGAATCACTTTCTCGTTCAGTGCTGGTAGCTCAGTACTGCTTCAAGATACCCAGTAATGCAGAAAGCAGTATTAAGTAGTAAGGAGCCTCAGGAGAGAATTCATATTAAAGAGAGAGGACTTGACCAGTTTTGAATCTAGTTGTCTCTAGTCAAAAGACAGGGTAAGAAGCTAAAACAATAATGAATCATAGTTTCCATCCTGTTGTGATATATCACAACATTTAATGAAGAGAACTGTCATGCACACAACATTTTGTGATCTTAACATGTGTCTTGGTGCATAAAGTTACACATTAGTGTCTGAGCAACATGTTTTGACTTACAGTTGGTCATCTTCAGGTTAAATAAAAAAAATTAAAACTGCCATATATAAAACTGCAGATAAAAGACATACACATAATAGAATACACTGTTGTTTTTGTGCTCGACATTTCTCATTATTAAATATAACAAAACATGTCTGGTACCAGTGTTTGCTATGATAAATTAGCCGTATTACTGAGATTTTTAGAAAAGTTGTGCTACACGGGTTGATTACACGCAAGTGTAAACTAATTTTAAAATCAAAGAGAACAGTAGCAAGTCTTTAAGCACAGCACAAGTTTATCATAAAACCGTATGTGTATCGACACAAGTTGTTTTATGCAAATTTATTAGATGCTAACTTTTTTATACAAAATGTAAATTATATAATTAAATCCAAAGAGCATGATGCTTCCTATGCTTACAAGTGCAACTTAACATGTCTCTTCTGAATAGTTACAAGTTATAAAAGAGAACTTGTTACATCTAAATGATATTGTGAATATTTTTTAACATAGTAATTGGTGCATGAAGATGTTGGTAATTCATGTACTAGTTCAAGTGAACTATAATAAAAAGACTAAAAATTGTATGGCTTTTCTAAGGACTGATATAGCTAGCATGTCATCAGGATAAAGAGACTTATGAAAGTATATAAATAGGTGATAATACTCATAACACCCCATGTGCATCATTATGCGTAAGACAGAGTTACATATCCTGAATTACCACATGAACACAAAAATGTATTTTTTAATAATTGCAACTGGAATACATTATAATAGTATGTAAACTACAGTCATGTTATGAATGATGAAAACTAGAATCATATTATCTGCCATGGTCAGGGCAACTGAAGACAGCTATTTTATGGTATGTTTTCACACAATGGATTGTTTAATATTGCCCCAACCTTCCCGTGATTCAAATTCATCATATTTTTCATCTATAAATTTATAGGTTGATATGCAAAGGATAACAGCATATAAAATATGATTGTTCTTGGTAAGGGGCTGGACCTTGTGTCTTTTTTATTAATTTATTACCTAACATTGTGCAGCAATGGGTAGAGCAAGGAAGGGTGGATAGATCTACAAACACTGAATGCTGAGGAATGTTCTTGGCCATAGATAAATGAGGATGAAAATATTTTCTTGGGTAAGCACCAAATGATCTTCAGTTTTCAATGCTAGTATTAAGGTAGATTTGAGATGATGTAAAATTGTGATTTAATATTTATTTTATCTATGTAAGATAGTATTACTCTATTATGTGCAAGGAAGAGACAAAGTCTGGCCCTTCTCTAAAGAATCTCATACCATTCTGCAAGATGCTTTTAAGAACAATATTTGAAGGCATGAATTTAAGACACTAATTTTAGCAAATAGAACATGTATTATAATTTATGTATGACATTTTTCATAGCAGATCAACAGACAAAATGAAGGAAATGGTAAAATTTTATGAAGTGTATTGTATGTGTCTATGTGTAAAGGTATAATGCTTTTATTTCTGAGACAGAATGGCCCTAAAATGTGTCCAATTTGTGGACAAAATAACATTGGATGTATTTATTTTGTTCCCTTTTTGTGTATAGCTGTAATGAAAGCTAATTATTATGCAAAATGATGACAGTGACCAGAACAACCACAATGCTCCCAACAAGCTCACTGTTCCATATGTTGCATGAATGTGGAAAATCAGTACCGTCAATAAATGCAGGTATATTTTTATCACATTTTATTTGTCCAACAGAAAATCACATGTAACAAAAATATATATATTTATTCCTATTAATATTATTACCATTTGGTCCCTAGTTTTAATTTATTGGGTTATAATTGACATGTCTGAGCCTTTATTTACCAATTTAGGATGACAAGCAGGCTGTTGGGCCAAGCTCATCTTGAAGTGCATGAAAGTGAATCCACTGGAGAATTAGTAATGTATTAGAATTCAATGTTTGTTTTTGGCCTTGTTTTAAAATAAATGTACACAGCAATCATGATGAATACAGCTGCCAATGTTGGCAATACAATCGTAAACGCACGCCTTTTATTTTCGACAAAATCCTTCTTTCTCTCCCGTTTTTGTTTATTGGTCTCCTTCACTTTTCCCTTCAGCTGAGGCATTTCTTTTCACTCCAATTGTACAGATCTGAAAATTGAAATTCCGTCACAACGGACAAGTGCCACGTTGATTTAACAATCTTGAATCTTGTGAAATATTGTACTTACTAAATTAATGTTCTGGTACACACGTATATCACTACAAATCGGCTGGTTCAAATACAGCGAAATTCACGTTCAGAACAAGTAAATGTAACTACTGTCAAATACTTAACCACAACTCCACGCATTAACCACGTAAAAAATAAAACGTGGAAAGGAACAATACACAATCTACTGTTTTGATAGCCAACGTAGCAACTTAAAGGTATTCAGGTTTGCCAATTCGCCGTGAACATGGTGGATGTGGGTTGGGAGATTCTATTTTTCACCTTTCGAAGAAACGACAGCAATGATCGAATTACGGCATGGTAGCAGACATTTTCGTACATATCTGTTGTTTGAATTTCGTGTGCAATCGCTGTCAAGTGCATTTTTTAATTGTTTCGTTTTTATGGTGTATCTGGTATTGACATGATACTGACATTTAAGAATCTTGCTTTTCCTAGATTATCCTATAATGACACATTTGCCAGCGAACAATCTTAACATTCAAGAGAACGAACCAGATTCCGGGAAGAAGCATTTAGGATTTACTCAAAATACGGAATCACGCTTGGTCTCGGAAGGCAGTGCTCTATATGATTGTAGAGAATTTATTTGTGGCTGGGGTGCAGCCTTTATTAATATTTCAATTACTTTTCCAATCAACAAAATAATATTCCGGCAGGTGAGAAATGTATCTTTCTGTTCATACATCTCTGTTTGTTTTTTAAAAATACAGTTTTAATGAAAGTGGCTCCCACGTCTGTATTTAGGAGGTTATGATGGATTGGTCATGGCAAATATGGAGACAAGAGTTTTTGCAAAATATTGGTAGGGAAATGTATTGGAAAATGGCCTAATAAAAGACTAGGTGTAACCTGTTGTATCTGTTCGGTGTTATTATATTTATATTGCCCGTGATTTTTTGTCATTTTTAATACTTGTTTCTGATTGGCTTCTTCCTGTTTCCAGATGCTTTAATTTTGTTGTTACTGTATTTTTGCTACAACGTTTTAGACCTTTTTGCAACTGTGTAGAGTGCCTATTAAAATTGCTTGTTTATTTGTGTGTCTGTACATGTGAAACAATTTGAAAATGGATCACAGACTGCTTAAATTTAGTAGTGGAGAATATTATGAAAATTTGTCACTTCATTTAAAGTTTCATTTAGATCTGATAATTTTAATAACCACTTTAAATATGAGCATAAATGTATTTCTGAGCTTGTCTTTTATTGAGAAGTGACTGCAGGACATGTTTAATATTTTTTTTGCAATTCTTCTGTTTCAGATGCTGCATGGAGTTGGTGTTGGTAGTGCTGCAGGTCAATTGTCAAGTGAAGGTTTTCATTACCTCTATCGTGGGATTTTACCTCCATTATGTCAGAAAACACTTTCCTTGTCTATTATGTTTGGTGTGTATGAAGAATGTAGGAGACCTCTAGAAAATGCAGGTGTATCTCATTACTTGTCCAAAACCATTGCATCAATGGTTGCTGGTACTGTAGAAGCTACATTAATGCCTTTTGAACGAGTGCAGACTTTGCTTCAGCATCAGCATTATCATAAGCATTTTCAGAACACATTTCATGCTCTTAAGGGAATAGGTTTCGAGTATGGATTAAAGGAATATTACCGTGGACTTACTCCCATTCTTTTACGAAATGGGCCGTCAAATGTGTTTTTCTTTTTCCTGCGAGATGAAGCAAATTATTATCTTCCACGACATGATTCATGGTGGGTACAGGCTTCACGACAGTTTGTGAGTGGTGCTTTAATTGGTGCATTCATAAGTACAGTATTTTATCCCTTGAATGTGATCAAGGTTCATTTGCAAAGCACCCTTGGTGGAGAGTTTCAGAATTTTGCTTCTGCTTTTACTGAACTGTACAAAACAAGAGGATTGAGAAATATGTACAAGGGTGTCCATATGAATTATACAAGATCATTTATCAGCTGGGGTGTTATAAATGCAGCATACGAATTTATCAAGAAACATGTGTTTTAAATAATAATGCGATTATTAGGACATTAATTATACACATATGCTGATCCCAATTAATATCCTGGAGTGTACAGTTGATAACAGCGCTTGAACTAGTTGTCTTGTGGGTTGTAGCGCCGTGTAGTGTGGTGTGGTAGAACGGTAGCGCCTGCTTGTGGCAACATTGTGTATTAATAGATAATCAAACAGGACCCGAAAGTGTATGTGAACTATGTGATCAACGATGCGACAGATACCACGTAACAAAATGTAAGAACAGAACCAAATCCATCAATGAATGTGGCAAGGACTAGGACGTTCTAGATACAGAAAAACTTTCTTATGCACACCTTTGCGCTTTTCCTATATTATTAATAGATAATCAAAGTGGCAGTGACAGACGATATTCATAATCAAAACAGTAGTATACTATTGCTTATAAAGAGCCAATAACGAAACACAACGTGTTTCAAGATGGAGAAGAGGTTTGCGTTGTTCTTGCCGAAGTGGGTTTTAGTGTTGATTCTTTTGGATATATTTGTGTTTTTTGAGGTTGTAGAAGGTAATTATTAGCTACATCATGTACGTGTATGTTTGTGCGTGTGATCGAAACGTAGAGAAATATTAGATATATTTTACTGCTGGTAGACACTTGAGCGGCAGTGTAAGAACAATCAGTATGCAATTTTTATTTCAAAAATCATTTATAATATGACCGTCGTGTGGCCCGGAACAAGGCCACAGTTGACGGTGAATTGTTCGGTTGCGAGAGAACGCAGTGCTCGTGAGTTAATTTTCCACATATATTGGTATAGTTTTGTTTCGTGCATTAGCAACTGAATTAGGAAGATAATATAACAGCTATTGGGAAAACTAAAAACGACAGCTGCTCCTGGGTTCCACTTTCCTTTCTTTGGTTCTTTGCTACCGTATGACTCCTGACTTTCCAATAAGAATTTGGCTTTATTTTTCTGGATTGTTGCTGAAAAGGCCAAGCAGTTTTTTTTTGCACTTCCTGCTACACACTGATTTTTTGGCACCATTTTGAGAGAGCTTTGTAATGTTTCAGATTTATGGTGAAAATCAATCTCATAGTATCTTTATTCATATTGAAGTGATCTGCTATGTTCCAAAAAGTAATTTGATAATCATTTATAACCATTTGTCACTTTTTAAAATTTGGATACTTTTTTAATTAGCTGGATGGTTTGATATTAAACCTTTTGTAACTTTTCAACTTCCATCTTGGAATGAATTAACCCCCACAAAAATCTGTATACTGGTTTTTCCCATCTGTAAACTAATGTAACATTTTTCAAAAGTTAGTGGTATGTTTCTTTATTAAAAATTTAATGTTGATTATAACAATTTATCGCCCATGTTTTTCA